AGTGCAATGTTACTTTAGTATTATTTATACACTATTATAATATGTATTCATATTTTGAATTAGCTTTTATTTGTATATTTTTAGTTTTCATTTTAAAGTTGTAATGTTGTGTCATTATTATATTAGTATTTTGTTTTTGTTTTTTTATATTTATAGCTATTTTTTGTACAGTTTAAACTTTTTGATAATATCTTATTTCAGCTTTATTTCAGCTATACCAAATACAAGTTAATAAGTTCTGGTTGAACAATAATAACACTGTGGCAGTGAAGGCGGTTTAGTTACATCTCTGCATTAGAGTTTTAGCATGACCTAAACTGGCCTCCATTTGACTTCTTATGACACCTACACTTTTAGAACGCGTGTGTTTGTGTGTTGATTGCATGTGTCTATTAGTTTTTTGCGCTGTGGCTGTAGCAGTGACAGGGACCGAGATTAGCAAGAGAGGGTGCTGACGACTGGAAACCAGAGAAGACCCTATACAGATAGGGTCATTTATATACCTTTATAGTCTCTACGTATTCATATTTTGTGTTAACTTTTATTTTCAGCTTTTTTTCAGGCCAGCTTTTAAGTTCAGTTTTCATTTTCATTAATTTGATGTTATATGCTTTTGTCATGTGCATCAGTTTTTTGTTTCTATTTAGCTTTGTTTTTTTTTTGTTTTTTTTCAGAGAATTATATTGTCTTTTATATAGTGACAGCAAACTGCCTGCATGGCATTTAAGAGGAAAGAGCCATTTTAATAAAAAGCTGACTGGGTCCTCCACCTCAGCAAAGATTTTTAACTACATTTTAGCTGAACAAATTAAAGCCGTCAGACCAATTCATCATGGGTAAGGTGAGAGCTGCTCTGAGCATTTGAGCATTTCCCTGTGGAGTTGTTACAGGTCCCTGTTTGTGTATGGACGTGACCTTCAGCTGTCTGGTGATCCCTGTGCTCTGTTCTTTTTTGGGAGGACATCTCAGCCAGCTCCTTAGATCCTGAGGCGGGGAAAGCATTTATAACTTGCCAGATCACCGTACTCCTCTGGGACGAGGAGATATACCAGAAGTGCCTGAGCGCCATTACTGTGCCCTGAAAGACAAACCTAATCAAAAATAGACGTGTCATAACTTCAATATGCAAGCAGATCACGAAATCTGACCCTCAGTACCAAGGCCAAGTTCGGTGTCTCGTATCCCTAACACTAAAGACTAAAGAGTGAAGGGCCTATCACACTCCAGATTCAGAGTCAATCCGAGGCCAAGACTTGGAAGGTGACGGTGTTACTATGTAGCAAAGCTGTTTACACTATACTGTTGACCAGAGGAATGGACAGAGAGGCTCAGATACCTGTACTCCAAAATACCCTCTGCCTTCAGTCAATATACTGTAAAAACAAAAAACAAAACATTTTGTATACATGCAGACTTGAGAATAGGTTTGGCCAACTTTAAAAATGTTTTGTTATGAGGATGTATGCGCATCTAATCTGTCTATTTCAAGTCAAGTAAAAATATTTTGCTGTTAACCTGCTCTGACAGTTTCATGATTTACATGTTATATACATCTAAAAAAACCTCATATGAGTTTAAGAGTTTTAGCTTGTACTTTAACATGACCCCAATTTAATACTGTGATTATACATTTTATTTATTTCAGGTGCCAAGGGAGAGAAGGAAGCTCCCCCTGCTGGTTTGTACATGCATTTCTTGACTCTACTAAATTTTCGTAATGTGTTTGATGTAGTTAATCATTTTAAAGCAGTCGGCTCACTCTCAGTATCTTTGATTTTACAGATAAGCCTGCAGAAGGTGGGTGAACTGCTCTGAATCTTGTCATGAACGCCATGTCTTCATTCAGTCTGCCAAGAGTACAAGGGGTAGCTTTGCTTCTACAGATAAGCTTTGAGTGTGTTTGTGTGTGTGTGTGTGCTAGTGCTGCAGGGGGTTAGGATTAGGATTAAGTAAGCGGTGTGCTGAATTACACATCAACTGAATGTGTTTCAATTCATCTTTAGATACAGAAAATATGCCAATGAATCACCTAAAACCATAGTAGTGCTCTAACTTAACATTCTGCTTACATATTGGCACATATATATCTAGTGCATTGCTTAGTCGAACAACAGTATTCATCATAATTCATAACGATATACTAATATGGTTGACTTGATCTCCTGCCTTTATAAGTAGAAGCACAGCCGGCTTTAATAAATGTGAATTTAACTAACTGTTTACATGCAGAACCATATTTATTTACTGTTATGTATCTACATGATACAATTTACATAAATTACAGTATATTGTTTCTAAATAACATTATAGCATACTTAACTGCTGAAAATACATTATAAACAAAAGCTGAGCTTGCTGTGCTAGAAGACGACTTCTTATTGCTTTGCTGCATGCATTTTAAAAACATGTACATTTTTTAAAGCCAATTTATTTGAAAATATACAGTTTATGAATCTTTTTCCAATGGAAGTGGGAGATGCCGTCACTACTGTTTAGATGGCACAATGTGAGAATGCAGTAAACAGTTTTCTCTGGAAAACAATGTTTTAATACACCTTTAACTGTGAGAACTGTAAGATAATAAAAGTGTAAATGCATTTTATGAATAACTATTTAACCATTTTATTTTAACACTGAATCTGATTGTGAGCTAATGCAGCCCATTACCAGAGCGCACAATGAGCATGTGCCTATATGGTACATGTTTTCATTTCTCAGTTCATGTTATCATGCATTTTCCGTCATAAAACTAATACCCGCACTGGGGTACAAATCGTTCCCTCTGAGAGAGAGCCAAAGCTTTGGCTGAAAGGTGAGATCTGTAGACAGTGTAATTGTGTTAACATGTGTGGTCATTAGGGCACTTTTTTATTCAAATGTGTTTTATATTTCAGTGCAAACAGCCCAGTGACCTCAAATAGTATTTGGACACTTAAAATGAATGAATGTCATTGCTTAATACAGCTAAATATCAAAACAAGTGACATTTTTTTAATTGTTGGCAGTGTTTGAAAGGTTCTGTTTTTTTATTTTTTTATTTGTCCAGTTCTGTTTAAACTTTCTCTCCAGCTCTAGACTCCAGGGACAAGACATCGGATGTAGTTTAATGTTGGTGTTTTAACCTGCCTCTCTGTATGTGCTGCCTTAACCTCTTATGCTTCCACTGTTTCTTTTAATTCAGATGATGAGGGCCGCGACGGTAAGGGAAAGAAACATTCCTCTTGGCTCGCTATGTGTGTGTGCATATTTGTCAATGTGCTAGTTGCTTATCTGTGACTGCGCATGTGATCAAATGTCAGTCACTGTCTCTGTCGGTGGTCCACAGGTCTGTCACAGGGGTTCTGACTGGCCAAAATAAGTCCAACAAGCAAACAAATGGTTTGAATCTGAGATTGCTTTGGCGAATGCCAGAAAGACCGATTTTCATTCATTTAAATTCATTAGTGGACAGCTACACTGTCTTTTAGCGAACAAATTGTGTTTTGAGACTCACAATAACCGAAAACAATCTCCGTAGTCTGTTTCGCCAAAGCATTCAGAATTTGTTATAAGTATTTTAGCGCCTACAGGTGCTGTAAGTGATTTTAGGCAAATGGAAATAAATCTCTATTTCCTGACAGATATCACTAAAGTTATTTTTTTAGCCAATCAGAAGATGCTCTCTTCACGTCAAACATATTGAGTGTTTTTTATGAGAAACCAGTGGAAATAGGAAAGTTAAGTTCAGTTAAGTTGAAGTTTTTCATGAAATATTATTTCAACTTTATTTCAATTAATGAAATTACTGATTTGTAATAGTTCTAGTTTTAGTCAACACCATCAACACTGGTCAGGATTTGACTTTCAGTTAGCGTGGCCATGCAGCCATCTTGCTGCAAATAGTATCTTCCTCCATTGACCACCATTCAAAAATATTTAATCAAATATTTAATTGTTGTAAATTTAGATGTTTACCAGTGCCACATCATCATAGGAGGTCTTTTAAAAGTGTGATATCGACTTGATGTCACAGCTCAGGATGGTGGTCACTACTGAAGGGCATTGGAAGTTGAATGGGAAAGCTAGCGAATAGTTTCTTACACAGCTAGCAAATGACATCTGGCCCAGTTGTGGCCCACATCTCCCATACTCGTCTGGCCCACATATATGGAATGACAGCAATGACTCAACCTGTGGGTGGCTGGCAATAGCATACATATCTGGGCCTCTTCTGGGCCAACTATGGCGCATATGGCTCAGTTCTTGCAGCGGCAAAGGTCACGTGGGCCACATCTGGACCACACACAACAAGCCACAACTTAGACCAGCTTAATGTGTGTTGGCCAGATATGGCCCATATGAACTTTTCTGCTATCAGAACGGAGCCATACGTGCCATAGTGTGAGGCCTGGATATGTATGCTATCTGGGTGACTCTTTGGTCTCAATGAGGTTTTGGAACGTAGGTAGGTCCATAAAAGGACCTAGAGTGGTTCCAGGGTGGCTAAAATTGTTTACAGCACCTTAAACTATATCCCTTAATTGTAGTTTAGGTGGAATATGTTTAATTTGAGAAAATTTGGATATATACTTTGTTTATTAGAGTGGGTATATATCAGTCTATGTGTGCTTGAGTGTATAAACCAAAAGATATTTCATTTCAATCTCTGACCACCATTTTTACATTGTATTTTAAGAAATGTAATACTATTTCATTCAGACTAATTTGATTTGTGTTACTTTTATGAATCAGTTATCATGACAGACATTGCTTCGATGTCTTCGACTTTGTTTTAATTTAACCTCTTGGAATACATATTCTGTGACCGTTCACGAAGCCAAGATTATGCAGTATACTGATACTCTGAGGTGGTTGTTTCACCAAAAGTTTCACCGTTGGAAATATCTGGATCTGTGTATGAGATCCAGCATTAGGGTGTGATAGTGTGATTATCAGGACATTTAGCAACAAAAGGTTAGGACACCCAGAGCTGGACTAGCATGTTCACTGTGGATGATTATATACACATTGGTGTTAAACTATTTCTACATCTATCTAATCTTGGTTAAGTTTATATGGGTAAAATAAGGTTGGGTCTAAGCTATATTACCAGGGTTCCAGTAAGAGCCATATGCTGTTTGCTGTTTTAAAATATAAGCCAAACTATGCATTGAACTGTGACTTTTTAATCCTTGTTCGGTGTATCATGTTAACTTGCATAAACATAAAACAGAGAGTGATGGTTTTGTTCTCTGATTTTATGGAATATGTGGAAATGCATCATATAGCCTGATCCCACCATAGAGAAAATAGTTAGTAGAGCTATGTACTTTCTTCATTCTGAAACAGTGAAGGACAAAGGGATGTCAGTTTCTACACTTATTTGTCTTATTATATTGAATGTGTAAATGAATGTCTAAGAAGAGCCCTAATGTTATGCCCTATATAACTTCCTAATGGTTTCCCCCACTCTTTCTCTCTCTTTTTCTTTAATACAGAATTGCCTGAGGATGGTAAGACACACAAATCCTTTAGCATGTATTGTCAATGACATATACATGAAAAAAAAAACAAATTAAAAAATTCATGCAAAAGGAAATTTTGTAAGTGTCTTTCATATCCCAGTGCAGATCTTAAAAGTGTAGTTCACACAACAAATTAAATTCTGTCCTTTTTTCCTCACCCTCCTAAAAAAAAAAAAAAAAAAAAAACTTCCACAAAAGAAAGAGAGTCATAAAGTTTGGAAAGACAGGATGGTAAACAAATGATGACAGAATTTTTACTTTTGGGTGAACTATCGGTTTAAGGATCTGGGAAGGTTGAAAGGTGAGAGTCAATAATCAATAGTTGTTTTGTTTTTGTTTTGTAATTATGGGTATAGGTTTGCTAGATGGTGCTAAATGTTTTAGGGAAGATTTACCCCAGGCTGCTAACACATCAATATGAACAGTAAATATCATGATTGATTGCCTCTTGTCAGTCATCGTTGACTAGCCAGTCTTAATGTGAGCTTTCAGTAGTTCATATCAGTTTACACTATTTCTCTGACTCTGCCGGTAGAACATGTCCCAGGAGAAGAGCCTCAGATGTCTGAAATAAGTGGCCTGTTTGTGGAGAAACCTCAGAGTGCCACTGTCAATAAAGGTAAGGGTCTGAACCACATATGCACCGTTAACTCTGCTGTGTCTATAATTTAAATTGAAATTTAGGGCTATTTATTTATTTTTTGTCAATATGTCTGCAGGTTAAATAGTTACGCCAGTAGGTAATGTGTCATTGAATCATTCACCCATTTTATTTGTTTAAAAAACTGACCTTTTAAGGGTGGGACACACAAATTCAGACAATTCCAGGCCGTTTTTGAGCATCGGTCGGCTTAGGTCTTTCGGTGCGTTCAGCACATTGGCTCAAGTCGGACGACAGGGTTTTTTTTTGGGCCGTTTTAGCATGTTAAATCGCCGTCTGTGTGGGTGAGAGAGAGAACTCTGATTAGCTGTTCAGAGAACGAGTGCACGAGACTAAGCGAAAGTGATGATAGAGAGCAAAGAAGTCAAGATAGTGACTAAAGGCTGTTCTAATTTTCTCATCTTACATGAACATTCAATGCACAGATATTTTCATAATAACATGAACTGAAAGTAATCAGCGTGATTGATATTCAAAATGATAAACAGACGCTGCTTTGTTTACGGTTACCTACAGTCCTAGTTTCGGTTTCTCTTTTTGAATGACAAAAATGGACTATTGATACCTACTGATATTGTCAGATATTTACTTACATGCAGACGCTATGCACATGATGCTACGCACATGCTAGTTGACAGTAGCCTTTAGTCCTTTTGGTGTGTGTTCAAGCGCAGTTTTTTTCCAACGAGAGGCGACAACACATTCAGCTTTCGTCAGATTTTATCTGATTGAGTGTAATAATCATTATCTGATTGAGTGTAAAAATGATTGTAATAATGACTAATGTACTGTGTTTAATAATAAATAATGAATAATTTAGCAAAACTCATGTCTTCATTTTAATGGTAACAGGGAAAAATGTCACATTTGTGGCAAAGGTGGACTCCTCTCAGTTGCTAAGGAAGCCAGCAATGAAGTGGCTGAAGGGGAAATGGCTGGATCTTGGCAGCAAGGCTGGAAAACACATACAGTTCAAAGAAACCTACGATAGGAACACTAAAGTGTGTGAGGGACAGTGTGTTTTATTTGAGATTTGTTTACTAGACCACATTTTGTTCACCATTTACATTTTTGATACCAGATATACACCTATGAGATGACCATTGTTAAGGCTGTGGATGGGGATGCTGGAGGTTATCGTTGTGAGGTCACATCTAAAGACAAGTGTGACAGCTGCACATTCGAAATCACCGTTGAAGGTAGGATAATGCGTATTATTGCGCAGTTAATCTCAAATTAACACTGAATCTGAATAGTACATCTAGGTAATGAGAGGTGGGGATCATGTACATCATAGGACATTTATAAAGCATATCATGCTTTTTTCAGTTGAATAAAGTCAGTTTATACACATCTGGTGTGTGAGCAGACTTTACGTCAAGTTTATACAGCTGATTCATTATTCAGTAGGTATTTAGCTGATTAGATCCTCTTCTGTTAGTTTTGCAGCACTTAGAGTTAATCACCACTACACATTTATTGGCTTTGACAGTAATCAGATTGTGGAGCAAATCAAACATGGTTTTTAATCATCGTCATGAATTTCATCTCCTCCTTCAGCTGCTGAAGAGACGACACAAACAAACATTTTGGAGGCATTCAAACGATCGTAAGTTTGTTTGTATGTATGTGTCTCGTACTCATTAGTAACTTCTTGATTTCACATTGTTTCAATGTACCGTTAGCATTTATTTGTTCGGAGGAATTGTTGTTCATATTGTCAGTGGCACTTTATGTTTAGATACTGCTGTAAGTGTACGCACAGATTTAGTGGTTTATGCACCTTATGTTAATACATGCAATATAAAATTCTCTTGCATATGATTGGGGGAGCAGTCTGTTGCCCAGAAGCTGCTCTTCTGAGCAGTAATAAGAGCAGTAATAAATCGTACAGATGGATTAAGAGGTGTCTGAGAGTTTAGTTCCAGGTCCCAGCTCCGGGAGGTAAAGGTTTAGCCCTAGGCCTGAGCCAAACTTCTTGATCAAACTTACTATTTGAGCATGGTGCTAGCAACAAGGTCATAGGTTCGACTCCCAGGGATCCATTGAATCCTCAGGCAAATTTAATGCCTTGAGCGCAATGCAAGTCGTCTGCCAAATTCATAAATGTAAATGTTGGTGAAGATGCTGTATGGATCTTGTTCATCTCTAGGGGAGACGCAGGAGAGGATGCAGGTGATCTGGACTTCAGTGGTTTACTCAAAAAAAGGTTTGTACGATGTTCTAGACCCTCTATGTTTTTCCATCTTAATCTGTTTACTTTATGCGCAGATCAAGTTATTAATTTTCACTTTAACCATCATGATGCATGGTGTAATTTATTCACTGTTGAAATCTGATTTAGATTTTAACTTTATGCATTATGTTCTATATGATGTCTTAAGAGAACATAGACCATAACATAACTCAAACAAAGTAATTAAAATAGCTCAACACAGCAAATGTGTGATTACCCCAAATTCAACTGAAAATGCAACTTTTAATGACTTCTGCAGTCTCAAAATTATTCAACCCGCTGAAAAGAATCCCTCACAACAGCACAAATCTGCAAAACAGGTGTTTTCTCAAGCACACCTGATGCAACTAAGGGCTTCATTGGTTGAACCAGGTGTGCTTGAGACAGAACACATCTACTATCTGAACTGACTAGGTTTGTTGAGTATCACATTTGAATGCGTGTTAGAAATGAATCGTCAAAAAAGTTAAGAGACGATATCATCAACCTTCACAAACAAGGAACAGGATACAAAAAGATAGCCAAGGCACTAAATGTTCCTAGAGACACCATTGGAAGGATAGTTGCACGTTCAAATTTAAAGGAATAGGGATTACACTACATGAATGGGGCAGAATAAAAAAAAAGCTATCAATGTCTGCAACCAGAAGACAAGTTCAGAAAGGCCCCTGAGTGACTGCAAAAGACCTGCAGCTAGACTTGGTGGCAACAGGCACTGCAGTTTCAGCTTGCACAGTTAAGCACAGTACTTATGCTGTTTCAATTCCATAAAAGCACGAGAAAGGTGTGCAAAATTGCTTACATTGAACAAGTCAAATTTCTAAAATATTTAAGCATAGTTCAAGATACAACAGAACAGCTTCAACTCCATACTGAGTTTTGAGTAGGTCACAGGAACTTATTAATAGAATTTGAAGGAAACACAGCATCACTGGGGTCACTATAGGACTCCAAATATAAAAACAGTCGATCTCAAATGTAAAGGTTAACCATATTTTTGATTCCTATCAACCTCAGAGAGAAGAAGCAAAAGGAGGAGCCTGAGATAGATGTGGATGTCTGGGAGATCCTGAAAAATGCCAAACCATGTGACTTTGAGAAGATCGCCTTTGAATACGGCATCACTGATCTCAGAGGCATGCTCAAAAGACTTAAGAAGATGAGGAAGGTGGAGCCCAAAAAGAGTGATGGTGAGACATGCGATGGATGCACACAGACATAGTTCTTCACATACAAGGTCCCTGGGTTCAAGTCTGACCCTAATATGTAATTTTGTTGACAAACCAAGGAAAAATGTTTTGGCATTGGTGGTTGAGAATTGTGTATATTAGTGCTGTTTCTGTTTCAGCTTTCCTAAAGAAGATGGAGCCTGCTTACTCTGTGGAAAAAGGAAAGAAAATAGTGCTTAGTGTTGATCTCTCTGACCCCAACGCTCAAGTCAAATGGCTGAAAAATGGACAGGAGATCAAACCTTCAGCCAAGTATGATACAGTGTGTTTGTGTGTTTAAAAAAATGCTATCTTGTATAACACTTTGAGAGACTAAAAGGAGTACTGGTCATCATTGATGATGATTGTAAGGATGGGGAACAGACAATGTTACAAGAGTGCATGATGCCTTACATGAGGATTGTGTTGAATTTCTCTCCCTGTTAGATATGTCTTTGAGAGTGTGGGTAGTATCCGCAAGCTCACTATTAACAAGTGCACCCTTGCTGATGATGCAGCATATGAATGTGTCGTTGGAGAGGAGAAGAGTTTCACTGAGGTCTTTGTTCAAGGTACACTGTCTTTATCATCTTCATCATCATCACTGGGATCATTAGCACATCCCGTCTTTGTAAATTCAGCTGTTTCATTTGTTCTGTCTTCTTATCGCCGTCCTGTGTCCCATCTGTCCTTGAGTGGTAGCCATCTGCCCTATTGATTATTTTAAAACTCTATTTTAAAAGTATATTCTGTCAGTCCTTAGTTTTTACTCAACCATTTGTTTTGAGCCAGGTCTCTGCTTCTGTCTATTTTATTTTATGTAAGGTGTAATTTTTGTTTTATTTCTACAGATACAGAACTATAATGTGGTCCATATTCATTCTGCTGTAAAAGTGTTTTTGTTTTACTGTGTGTTTGAATATATTAACCACTTATTTGTGTTTATATGAGCAGAACCCCCTGTCACCATCACTAAGATGTTGGATGACATCCATGTAGTGGTTGGGGAGAAGGTAGAGTTTGAGGTTGAAGTGTCCGAAGAATCAGCTAATGTGAAATGGTGAGATACTGGACCAAACTGGTGACACTGACCTGGTCAATTGTGACCAGTTTATTTTGTACAGTCAACAGGCCTACAAATAAACTGGCCAGCTGCACAAATTGAAATGCTCAATAAATGACTAGCTGACTAAATTAATTCCAGCACTGTCAAGGTCAATATCGCTAATTATAGTCATTTAGTATTAACAAGCTATTATTAACATTAAATAGGACTAAACTGCAAATTATCTGACTGTTTTTTTTTTTCAGTTTATTACCAACAATTATAGAACACAATGAATAATTTAATAATGATTATAGTCATGTCAAACTCCACAAAAACCTATTAGCCTATAATAAATGGCACATTTAGTTTTAGATGATGCATTTTCTCTGTCATTACCTCTCTCTATTTAAATGAGCAATGTGACTGAGCGCTGTCTGTGACTGCTAGTGCTTTCTAACATTTCTGCTGTTACACAAGCAGATGGAAGGTTTCCAGTCTTATATCCACTTTAAAGTTTAAGAGTAAATTAGTTCTCATTCTAAATAAATGATAAAAGCTCTGGGATCAATCATCTGGATACAATATGAGTATTATAGGTAGCCTACATTTCGAGATTGATCCTCTTATCACTACTTATCACTACTGCCTTCTGCTGTATCCAAAGGCCAGGACAAAGTTTATATTTTCTTTTTCTGCACATTTTTTCTGTCATGTCCCATTTTGTCCATCCATGTTCCCTTTGTACCCATCCCAATCTTTCCCATTTTATCTTCAGTCACCTTGGCATAGATTGCCTTCCTCAGTTTCTCCTTATGAACATTATTTCCATCTTTACCTCTCTTCATCTCTCTCAGGATGAAGGATGGAGTGGAACTGAGCCGAGATGGAAAGTATCGCTTTAAGAAAGATGGGACAAAGCACTGGCTCATCATCAATGAGGCAACCACAGAAGACATAGGAACATACCATGTGTTCACTAGCGGAGGGGAGTCCAAGGGAGAGCTGGATGTGGAAGGTACTTCTTTTGAAAGATTAAAACTCTCCCTTCTCAGCCCTTCCCCCGTTTGGCTGATATTTCAGTATTTATTTTTAGTGTTAATTGCCTCATGGCCCCTTTTTCTCTATTATAGAGAAGGAACTGGAGGTATTGCAGAGTATAGCTGATCTGACAGTGAAGGCAGCAGACCAGGCTGTCTTCAAGTGTGAAGTGTCTGATGAGAAAGTGACTGGAAAGTGGTACAAGGATGGGGTGGAGGTCATTCCCAGTGACCGCATCAAAATGACACACATCGGCAGGTATATCGGTCCACTTACGATCACCCTTATCAATTCATGCATAAGCAAGCTCATCTTGTCCCTCACCACACTAATATTGTTTTATGTTTGGACTCACTAAAACAGATTAGTCATCGAAATGTCCATTTTGTTCCATCATTGCTTTTTCGAGTGAAAATAATGTGGCATACACTTCTAATGTCGTGGTAACATTTTTGACCCTTATATCTCAGGACTCACAAGCTGTTGATAGATGAGGTGAAGCCTGAGGATGCAGGAGATTACACCTTCGTACCAGATGGATATGCTCTTTCCCTTTCAGCCAAACTCAACTTTTTGGGTAAGAGAGAGAGAATCTGATTTTTTATTTCTTTTTTATCAGACTTTCAATTTAAACGTTGACCTAGATCTATATTTTGGTTCCCAGAGATCAAGATTGATTATGTTCCTCGTCAAGGTAAAGATCTTACCTGCATCAACAAATTTAACATTAAAGTTTTGTTATATGTTATTTAAAACTGTTATTTAAAATTCTTTCTATTATCATCTAGAACCACCCAAAATCCACCTGGACACTACTGGCAGCATGGCCAACAAAAACACCATTATCGTCGTAGCAGGAAACAAGCTCCGGTTTGATGTTGACATTTCAGGGGAGCCCCCTCCCACTGTCTGCTGGAAAAAAGGAGATACTGTGAGAGCTTGCTGGCAAACTGTCACATTCTCTCATCTTAAGCAACGCCAAGAACACATAAGCACTTGTTTTCATTTTAGATTCAGTGATAAAACCCTGCAGTGCTGGTCACCAGCATGTTTTTCGAATTGAGTCTTTACCAGCCTACCTTAACCATCGAGACTTCCACAGTCAACCAGTTTATCTAAATTAGGACCATGCTGGATGGATTCACTCAAATAGACAATCAGTCTTTCCAGCAGGAACACATTCTCTCTCATTTTCTTACATCACATAGTAAATGGAAATCAACTTCGAATTGTTACATCTGAATATATAACACATGCTTGAAAACATGACGTTTGTATGATGCAGGAGATCTCTGAGGCTGAAGGCCGTGTGCGAGTGGAGACCAGGAAGAACCTAAGCTGCTTTGTGATTGAAGGGGCAGAGAGATCCGATGAAGGCCTTTATCATATCACTGTAATCAACCCAGCAGGAGAGGACAAGGCTGATATCATGGTTAAGATAGTTGGTGAGTTCAAACATGTTAACCATCTGCAACTTCTTCTTTCTGTCCGCATTATCAGCTATCTCCCATCTGTTTCATACGGCTCCTCATGCCTGTATTTATTCTGTGCGGTGTTCAGATGTGCCTGATCCACCTGAGAATGTGAAATGCACTGGAGTGGGTGAGGACACTGCTGATATCAAGTGGGATCCACCCAAATTTGATGGTGGAGTTCCAGTGAAAGGTAAAACCAATCCTTACCGTTTATGTTGAACTTGACATCCAATATTTAGGGATGCACTGATATGAAAATTTTGCCCGATACCGATAATTCTTTATATTTGAAAGTCGAAAACTGTATTTTCCTTTTTTAAGTGATTCCAATATTTCAAAATATATTCAAAACCATTATGGCGAACAGTGCACAGGAAAGGAAAGGAAATAACCCACTACCTATCGGTTTTAGGATATCGGCCAGATTTTCTTATCATGCCTAAACGATCATATTAAATTATTAGTTAAATTAACGTATATCGGCCGATGCCGATATGGTGGCCGGTATATATCGTGCATCCCTACCAATTTGGAATATTTTGACTATGTTGTCAGTCTTGCTTCTTGGAAATACTTAAGAAAAGATTTAAGTAGGTTACGAATCTTCTCACATGTGTAGAATACCACTTACTACTTTAGTTGTAATTCCAGGTTACCTAATGGAGAGGAAGAAAAAGGGCTCTTCCAGATGGACAAAGCTGAACTTTGACATTCACGAGTCCACAACATATGAGGCTAAGAAGATGATTGAGGGTGTGCTATATGAGATGAGGGTGTTTGCGGTTAATGGCATTGGGATCTCCCAGCCCAGCGCCAATTCCAAACCTTTCATGCCCATTGGTTAGTTCTCATCAGACTGTCTGCTGCAACTTTGGATTTATTTAACTACTTTCTCAACAAACATATTTCAATCTGCATTCATTCTCTTTGTTTTCCTACTCCTTCATAGCTCCAACTAGTGAACCAACACGACTGTTGGTGGATGACGTTACTGATAGTACCTGTGCTTTAAAGTGGCTTCCCCCTGAGAGGATTGGAGCTGGTGGCATTGACGGGTACATCATTGAATATTGCATTGAGGGAGGTGAGGCACAAGGCGACTTTGCTATAGAGCTGACATAGAGTGCCATCTCAGTTTCAAACCGTCACAGTGAAGTTATCTTTTTTGATTATTTTTTGACATGTTTACATATCTTGCTGGTTTTCTGCTTACTTTGCCCCTGGTGGAAACATCACAGCCACTGAGTGGGTGCAGGCAAATGAGACTCCTGTTGAGAAGAATAGTTACAGGGTCAGAGGGCTGCCTGTTGGAGAGAAGATGCTGTTCAGGGTGACAGCTGTGAACATCGCTGGCCGTAGCCCTCCAGCTGTGTTGGCGCAAGCTGTCACCATTCAGGAGATTGTTGGTGAGACTCTTACGCAAACAACATGCAACACACTCGCAGGAGTATCTCTATATTCCTCACTGAAATCTCAATGGGAGTTTGTAGCTTTTAGTTCATGTCAAATTCCTGAAAAATAAAGAAAATGAACCAAATACATGCATTTAAAATATACAGTTCCTTTCTCTCAAAAAAATAGAGCAAAATTTTGCTCACTGACTTTCATTGTGTGGACAAAAAATTAGACATTTTTCAAAAGATCTTCTTGAGTAAGTGATGACAGAATATTAAGTTTTGGGTGAACTATCCCTTTGACTACTCAAATACAGATTTAACACAGACGCAACACACTCGTCTACGACACACTGAACACAAAGTATATAAACACCCCACCGTGTGTGTTGTCATTTTCAGCACGTTTTCTTCTGTCTTTTCCCCCACTCAATCTCCTCTCTCAGAGCGTCCTAAAATCCGCCTCCCTCGGCAGCTTAGGACTAAGTACATCAAACAAGTGGGTGAGAAGGTCAACCTTGTCATTCCCTTCCAGGTCAGTAATGCACGTACATTGTTCTGCTCTGTACTTGTGTAGTGCTACTTTTCTCTTCAGATGCTGGTCTTCACACCAGTTCAAATTATTAACTTAGACCATGTTAACTGTTATCAGGGCAAACCACGTCCAACCGTGACCTGGTTCAAGGATGGCGGACCTCTTGACACAGGGCTGGTGAATATCCGCACAAGTGGTGTCGACACCATCCTGTTTATCAGGCAGGCGGTCAGAGAGCACTCCGGCCAGTACACCCTCTCCGTGCAGATTGAGAACATGGAGGAGAAAGCCACCATTGAAATCCAGATTGTTGGTTAGTGCCAAGCCAACAAAGTGATTTGGTTAATGTTTTTAATTGGGATGTGCACAACAACATACTTTCAAGTTCAAGAGTTAGAGAGTTGTAGGTTCCCTGAATAATTGTCTTAGTTGAAAGACATGGGTATTAATTTTATATAATTTTGAGTTGAGATAATAAGAGCACATGAGGAGAAACAGGAAAAGCAGCAAGAGATGAGTAAGCGGAATGGGATATGACCTCAAGCTTCCCAAAGCTATGTTGAGTGATACCCTCAAGGCCTTCTCTCTGAGTTTTTTCAACTTGACATGCCGTCATGAAGATGCAATGCTCTTGGCACGATGCTCAAAAAACAGCATGAGATGTGATGCGATGGCTAAAGACATCCTTCACAGTGTATAGAAATAGTGGTGATGGTTTTAAAGGTGACATGAAGGTGAATTTAAAGACACAGGGTGTTTTACCTTGCCAAAAAGTTTAGATAAAAAAACGGATGAGAAAAAAATCTGAGTGAGCCGTTCCTAATTTTAAGTGGTATTGAGGCTGGTTTCTCCCAAGGATTTTTGTCTATTTCTGACACCTTAATGGAGTCTGGGTTCCTTGTCACTGTCGCCTTTGGCTTGCTCAGCTGGGGTTTTATACATTATATTTATAGGGTCCTTGCATGACACTCAAGGACACCGTACAAACACAATGAAACAATCAACAATAAACAAATACTCATTATTACAACCTGTATACCAACATTAAAATGCAAAAGTAATCACATAAAAGTCTGCCAAAAAAGATTGGTCTTAAGGCGAGATTTAAAAACACAAATACTTTCACTGTTTTGCACATCTTGTGGCAGAAGGTTCCATAAATAAAGAGCTGCATGAGTCATGACTAAAGGTTCGGGACCACGTAGAAGTAGTGCAAGTTTAAGGGATGATCTTAAAGTCCGAGTTGGAGTGTAAATATGAAGATAGTCAGATAAGAATGAAGGAGCAAGATTGTTGAGTGCCTTGTAAGTAAGATTAAAATTAGTCTGATATTTCACCGCTAGCCGGTGTAAGTGTTGTAATATGGGAGTAATGTGTTCAGCTAGAGGAGTTCTGCTCATGATTCGAGCCGAGTTCTGTACTAGCTAGAGTTTGTGGAGTAGCTTTGAAGGCAGTCCATAAAAAAGAGCATTGCAATATTCTATACGGGAAGTGACGAAGCATGAACAAGAATTGCCGTGCTTTTTACTGAGAGAGCTGGACAAAGTCGGTTAATATTACGTAAATGGAAATAAGCAATGGGAATGACACTGTTTATGTGTGCTTCGAATGAGAGAGTACTGTTAAGGATGACACCCAGACTTTTAACTTGTTTAGATACAGACACTGGTAAGTTGTCAATATTCACAGATAAACATGTGGATTTCATCAGATTGGTTTTGAGGTAACAAGAAGAGTTTCTGTTTTACTACTGTTAAGTTTAAGACGATTTGAATTAAACCATTCTTTAATCTCTGCTAAACAATCTGAGAGGACAGATTGAGGAAAAGAGGTAGGTTTGGATGACAGGTAAAGTTGGGTGTCGTTGGCATAAAAGTGGAATTGAACACTACATTTCCTAAAAATATTACCAAGGAGTAAAAGATAAATAATAAATAAAAGAGGACCCAATACTGAGCCCTGGGGGACACCTGTATTGACATACAAAAGCTTTGAACGAAACTGCTTCAACTGTACAAATTGAGTATGACCCATACCAAGTCAAGGAGGTACCAGTAATTCTTATTGACTTCAGTCTGTCTAAAATTAATAGTTTAACACAATCTTCAGTATAGCTGCTATACAGCAAAATTTTAAATTCCTTGTTATTTTCTTGTTTATTACTGTGAAGCTGCTATAAAGCAAGCAATCTGTATTGCATAAAGCACTATATAAATAGGTTACTTGACTATTTGGGGTATTGAAGATGTTGCAAATTCATTTGTAGATCACTTACATCAATATCATAGTTGGCCACAAATACAGCGATGACATAAAATTAAAGGATTAAACTGCTTTGTTCAAAAAGTTAATTTCTCTACAAAGTGAAGTGTTAGTCAGGATAATTTTGTTAACCCATGGAAAATGTTTGTGGATCACTTTCAAAAGTGATGCTGAATTTCTAACTCTTAAACTGGCAGAAAGGTTTCATATTAAACATTTACACTTTCATCAAAATTGAGGATGTCATAGGTCAGTTCGGTTGCAGGGATTATTCTGCAGGGTTTTGTTTGGATTATTCCTGGTGTTGAACGGGATTAGGATAGGATTAGGACACACTCACTCGGTGTTCCCGCTGGGAGGTAAGCTAATGAGAGTGCATAAACCCTTCAGATGAGCCAGACAGCCATTTAGTCACAGTTTGCTGCCAGCATCCCAGCAGCCTGGCCAGGATTAATGCCAACCGCTCCCAGCCGCAAACTCGAACTCTCCTGCTCTCAATCTTTTTTCTCTTTTTTTTATGTAGCTTGATCTCACTATCTCTACCTCACGCTCAAGTTTTCACCCTTGTCCCCATTTCATTTTATCCCTCTTTCATTTTTATCATTCCTCTGCTCATTCACTTGTAGCTTCTTCTCCAATTAGCATACATTAATTAGTCTCATGGTTCAAATTAGGACAGTGTATTGGTGTCAAGCTCTACAGTAATAACTACAGTAATTTTTTTCTTTTCATTTTCATACAGACAAGCCTGGGCCACCGATGGCTGTCACTGTAACGGATGTTTGGGGTTTCAATGCTGCTTTGGAATGGAAGCCTCCAAAAGACAATGGCAATGCGGAGATCACTGGCTATACCATTCAAAAGGCTGACATGAAAACCAAGGTAAACCTGGACCAGCAACAGGAATGTTTGGGCCAAATATATGTGGACACTCCTCTCTAATTTAGCTTTGATTAGGTCCCTAAATCTTAATGCTATTGCATGCAGTGACATTATACAGAATTGTGTATTTCCAACAGTTTTAGAGGACCGTTTTCTGCTCCATCTACACAAAGTGCGAGCACCATGAGGAAATGGTTTAATGAGCTAATAGAGTCTGGTGTAAAAGAACTTAACCAACATGCACCAAATATTTTTGGCTGTTAGAAGTTTCAAATCAATAAATAAACACAATTGAATGGTTGTAGGTAGCCTAGAGTATGGATAAAAATTAATACCCTATGGCCTGGGGCACGTTCAAGTCACATGACAGACATGGAACATGACATTAACAAACCAAAACGTGACAGAGACAAGACCAAATCGTGACACAGTGCAAGTTTCTTTCAGTTAAAACAGCTCAAGCATTTTAGTCTGAGACTAGGCCTTGACTGTGAAATCGGGGGTATATCTTGCAAAAAAAAGTTATGTGTTTACATTGAATATAAAGCAACATTTGTGTTGTAATAAAAAAAATTGTATATTTAGAATTTTTGACAAGAACATCAACTTAGGGGATATCCTAGCAGATGGTGGATAGAGAAATGGAGGTCTGTATACCTACAAGGCCAATGACAGCATGAAAGTAATGCACAGAGCAAACATACAAATGTACTGTTTGTTTGTCAACAATACTTTTTTTGGTGTTTAAATGTCTCTTCAGTGTTTCTAAATTCAGAGGTTTAGTTATTTGCATGGCTGTCTCTCGACAAATCTGTCTCTTACTTGTTTTAGGAGTGGTTCACGGTTATTGAACACAATCGTAGACCTAGTTGCACCGTGTCTGATCTGGTGATGGGGAATGAGTACTCCTTCCGTGTGTTCAGTGAGAACATCTGTGGCATGAGCGATGATGCCGGCGTCAGCAAAAACACAGCTGTCATCTGCAAAACAGGTGCCTGCATACTGGCAGTTTAAAAATTAATCTCAAAACACTGTATGTTGCATTACATGACGATTAGTGCACGAGTGTCTCTCTACTGAAGCGTTGCATGTCTTTGTGTAATCCTCTTCCTGCCTCTTTCTCTTAGGTCTTACTAATAAAGCACAACCCTACAAGGAAAAAGATATGGCCAGCTCTCCTAAATTCATCACACCTCTTGTGGACAGGTCTGTCGTCGCAGGTTACAGCGCTGCCATCAGCTGTGCTGTCCGTGGGTACCCGAAAGTACGTGTTAGATTATTGTGTGACTATATAAACCAATGGCAATATACCCATGCAGTTGTTTGGAGCCATTTAAGCAACATTGCTCTCTCTTTCTCATTCTCTGTTGTTCTCCTCTCAGCCAAAGATTATATGGATGAAAAATAGGATGATTATTGGAGAGGATCCAAAGTTTCTCATGCAGAATAATCAGGGTGTGCTGACTTTAAACATCCGTAAACCCAGCTCGTTTGATGGAGGGAAGTATACATGTAGAGCTATCAATGACCTAGGAACAGATGAAGTGGAGTGCAAACTGGAAGTTCGAGGTACGGCCAAAAGCCATAACATCATGTTTTAGAAAGCACAATGTACTCATATTTGTTGATGGTGGATATTATTTCTCCTATTTTTACATTTCAATTACCAGTGCCTGTCCTAAAACACTAATGATTGAATAACTTATTCAATTATTAGTGTGAATAACACAAACAATGTTAGACGTAACTTTCAACAAATCCCAATTTTGTCATACTGTAGATTATAATGTTGAGATGCCTAAACTCACTCTCACCATTTAAAACAACTCAATTTAGTTTGTAGATAAAAACTTCCCAAATGTAATACTTTCTGTTTTTCCTGTTTAGCTGTAACAGAAAATGTGGGGGTGAAGAAGTGAACGCACAAGCATGAAGATACCCTAAAGATGACTGCAAAAGAGGGATATGGACACCATGAGAGTGTCAAAAAGCAATACAAATTTGAATTAAAATTAGAACAAAATTGTGACAATGCTGTCCTTTCTCTGCCTTTTTAATTTTGACTAACAAAAAGTACTGTGATGGTACTCGGATATCCCTTACTCATTTCCTTGGTATTTACATGGCACTTAAAAGAAACACCAAACAACTCCCTGTACTGTTTTGTGTTAGTGTAATCAGACTAATATGTGTGATAAACTAGTTTTTTTCCCCTTGCCCGAGTATGCTTTTTCTCTATGTCAAGTTAAATTGCTTGAAATAAAAGTACATGAAAACAACTTAAAATGTTTTAATGATAGTCAATTTAAAGTAAAAGCCACTTGAACGTTGTCGTTAAAGGGGGGGTTGACTGCGATTTCACTTTTTTCATTTTAAATAGTGTGTAATGTTGCTGTTGGTGCATGAACAGTATCTGCAAAGTTGCAGCGCTGAAAGTTCAATGTAAGCAGAGATATCGTCTTTTAAAAATCAGGAAGTATAATTGCATACAAAAACGACTCGATGGGCTCTATGCACGGCGGTATTTCCGGTGAAGCATAGGGATGCTCGATAACTTCCGCCGATCGTAGAGTCCAATGCAATACCGAGAATTTATATTGAATTTTATACTCCATGGTTATACTAAAGAAACGTTAGTCACAAAAACAGATAAAACAGACACCCCTCGTTGTGTTTATGCTTCTTTTTAAAATTATATTAAATAAAAATAACTATATATAAAATTACATCTAAACGTACATTTCATTTCAAAGACTGGAGGACAGTAAATTTTGAAGACTCTGCCATAATCCCGTTTTCCTCGGTTTTCCTCCGCTTTAATCTCCACAACCGGAAATGGACGAGCATCCTTGTGTCAAATGCGGAATTTATGCGTGCATATAGCCCATTGGGACTACAGCTGGGTTATGGTACGTCACTAACCCGCACATTTGCATCAACCCCTCCCTCAGAATATGCAGAAAATGGCATGCGTATATTTCTGAGGCACGTCGACTCGTCGAGTGTGTTGTTCACGCAGCTGTCAGGTCTTCTGTGTTTCGGGCTTCCCATACTTCCTCAACAATGGATACAATTTATGTTTGATTATGTTCCTGAAAATGACGATTGTAATCTAGCTCTCTGTGCTGCGCATTTTACGGAAGACAGCTTCCAGAATATACACGAGTTCAACTCCAGATTCAACAAGAAACATGAAGCAGTTCCGACTTTAAAACAAGAGGCAGCAGTGTTGGGCCACAATCTGTAAGTAGGCTAAGACTTCATCATTTTAAATGTATTTGCATGTATAATTCCAGACGTAACGTTAGCCTTGTGTTTTATTTTATTTTTTCAAATGCCAACGCTGGCTTTATAGCCACTACTAGTTAGCCTATGCTATTTTGTGCTATTTAGTAGCCAGTCAGTTGCTATTGTTGCCAGTCAGATGCTATTGTGTAAAACAAACGTGCAAAAAGTAAAAAAAAAAAAAATGTGGCAAATTATCATTCAGAAACGTTTATTAAGAGCCGTGTGTGGTGAGGTTCTGCTTGACTCTCTTCATCGCGGGTTTCTCGGTCTGATTCTGCCTCAAACTGATACTGCAGTTCGACACATATTTACATTCTGGACCGGAGCTCAGGTTCCGCCCGTAAAGGTAATGGGCGTTAAACCTTCCGGACAACGTGAGCGACAGTTTAGCCAATTACAACACACCGGGCCAAACTAACCAATCTGAGCCCACTACGTGTTTCTGAGGGAGTGTTTTCATAGAATCAGGAAGTTAACCTCTCGTTCAGGGGACAGAGGAGAGCGCGGCTGACAATAAAGCTGAAGTTTATGAAAAATAAGACTTTAAAAAAAAGAAAAAACACGAATACATGTTATATTGCACCCCATAAATACAATTATGCAAAGAAAAAAAAGCAGTCAACCCCCCCTTTAAGGTTTGTGAAAATTATATCATTCGTACCCTGTGTCTGCTGCCTGATCCAGGAGAGTTGGAGAATCAGGGTCTCATTAGCATATCACACTAGAGACTCATTTACGCACCCATCAACACTGCCCCAATTAGCTCTCTCCCACGTCATTACTGAGCAAACGAATTATGGCTAATTTACACACCAGTAAAACAAACACACCACCGCAGCTCCGCTGGGAGAATCTGCTGCTGCCCGCCGAGGTTCACTCGATCCAGGACAGTGTTTCTGAATCCATGATCCGTGCGACAGAAGGTATGGTTTAAGAATTGAGAAAATATTAGAGTTTAACAGTATTTCAACAGCAACATAAAAATATACAATTAATTTCGCAAGGGAAACATGTTAGGAGGACACAAACAGAGACCGTTGAGTTTGAAAGTTTTTGAACAACCGAAACTAACAAAATCTTCTCGAAGTGACCAGCAGATAGCGCACCTCACTTATTCAACAATCGCTTCAGGACATTCAAATGTTAGCTGTAATGAAGTTAGATTTGCCCATTACTTATCTCTGAAACCATATAAATCAATAATTTGCTGACAGTACAGCATTTAGGTTTCTACTAAGGCTCTCTCGCTGTGTTATGCCTTTCTCTTTTTGCTGAGAATGTGTGATGTGATGATAAGAGCATCAACAGACATGCGCAATCCAATCTTTCACATGTGTGAAAATATGTAGGCCTACAGTGATCATACAGCAAGGTAGGCCTATGATATTAGCTTAGACTACATAGGCCTAGCCTATAATAAAAGATAATGAATTTCAGACCTGATTCAAACATACTTTTATTCAAAGATCAACAGTCTGTCGTCTGTTTGCTATAAAAAACAAAACAACAACATTAAAATCATCAACTCAAATGTCATTGTGAAAAAAAAAAATGTGGAAATCAGACCTTTCAAGCTATAACCATTCATATTTTGCATGAACTTTAGCGTATCACAATGCATATCTAAATTCGCACCTACGGTATCTTTGTAGACCTTCAAAAAAATAAAGAAATAAAATAATAATAATAATAAATGTTGCAGCCAATTAGCAACCTCCAAGGAAAGTTTTTAAAGTTTTATCAGATAGTAACTACTCAAGATTTTGCTTTAGTATACATTTCGGGACAATTAGGGCCGGATTCAGAATTCGTTTAGATTTCGGGATTGTCCCAAATTTTTCGGGACGTCGGTCATCCAACCCTCACACACATATTTGCATTTTTAGTTTTCCATCAAGACATTAATTAGTGTTTATTAAGCCCTTTCTGTTGGCTGTTCCTCAAACACATCTATTCTACTAAAATATTTTTTGTTGGTTTTGTTGCATTTTTTATATTTTTGTTTAGATTTGGCTCCCTTCTACCTACATGATATTTTAGTTTAAATTGTGTACCAAATGACATATTATACACCATACACTTATGAACTATTTACTAAACCATGTAGTTTACGATTTTTTTTAAGATTATTTTGTCATCCAGTGGAGTCTGATAACACCTCCTAAACATACAGGGGTTGGCAGAGGGACTTTGAGCCATTCCTCTTCCTAAATAGTGCAGGTCACTACCTCGTTTCCACCAAAAAAAGAAAAAAAAAAAGAAGAAAACACTGGTTCGGAACTGGTGCTGGTTTAAAGTTGGTTCAACTTGCGAACCTTCTCAGAACCTGTTTTTTTTTCCACTGACTAGAGAGCCCAGTGAATGACGTTATTACGTCACGTCACCACACGTCATAGCCCTATACCTAAGCATGACTTGGTAAAAGTTCTAGTCCAGCAAAAAGTTGATGCCGCTTTATAACCAATTTTCCTGGCCAATAACTGCCTGGTTCTTTGGCTGTCGAAACACAAATAACTGGTTTGTGAGTAGGCACCAGCTCTCAAAATGCTTTGTTGGAGAAGGGGTATGCAGGTGGAGGAAAACATTTTCTGTCTCGCTCCTCCAAAATACCACAAAGTGGCTCAAAATATATATCTGGTGACTTTGCGGCCCATGGGAGATGCTCAACTTCACTTCCATGTTCATCAAACCATTCTGTCACAAGTCTTGTGTGTATTGGTGGATTATAATGTTGATACACGATCTTCATCCCTGTTGCTTCACCCTGCAGTCCAGGTGTTAAGCCTTTTTGGGGCTTCTCCACACCGTAACTCCCATGGATGTGGGGAAGACGGTAAAGGTTGACTCATCAGAAAACAATACATGTTTAACATTGTCCACATCCCAAGACATGCACTGGTGGCACCATTGAAACTGACATTTGACCTCGGCACAAGTGACCAAAGTTTTGGCAGCATCAATCCTGACTCTCGACGTATAGTTTTGGTGGAAACGTGAGAGCTGATGTGTGCATTTAATTTTGCAGTGAGTTGAGCAGCTGTGGTTTTACTTTTTTTTTATACAATCTGAGTTGGTACCTGGAAATCCCTTTCAGACATCTTCCTCTTGTGTCGACAGTTACTTCTGTTGGATGGGGTTCATTCGTTGGGGTATGCCAACGTTACCGTGCCATAGTTCTCAATACACCACAAATCACAGATGAGCCAGTGAGACAAGCACCAAGAATTTGTCCTCTTCTGAACTCTGATATGTCTCCCATTATGTTATGTGGATTGCAATATTTTATGTACAGCATGTGCTGCTCTGCTAATTCAACCTGCACACTCCGCTCTTACTGATGGAATCAGTGAAGATGGCCACTAGGCTGCACATAGGCATGAAACCTCCAACACTATATTGGCCAACTATATTTTCCACGTTCTTTAACTTCATAATCAGTCTTGCTGATTGTACCTGCTGCCTGGGACATCACATTCACATTCTCCCCATAAAAATTAAATGGGGAAAGTTGACAAAGTTGTGTCTCTCTTACCAAGCTCTTTGAACTTCAGAGCACAAGGACTGTGTACAAGTGTACAAATAGGGAGAGTGTGCCACTTTTTCTCAGACAGTGCTCAGGAGAGGCACTGTGAGCCGCTCGATAACCATTGCGATACAACAGCCTATATGATATGTTTCTCAGTCTGAGCGAAATAGAGAGAGAGAGAGAGCTACGGTGAGCAAGACAAAACTATAATGGCAGAATGGAGAGAACTATAATTATGCTAGTAATTATGCATGAATTCCATGAGAGAGAGAGAAAGAGAACAGAGGGAGATTTTCATGCATGTAATTACAGTATAGAAACTTGGGAAGGCAGAGGAGTGAAACTCTGTAACATTATCCACCTCATAACCTCATTTATGGCAAACAATCGCACACAGGCAGATATTCTTCACTGTAAAAATTCAGAGAAATTTAGGGTAAAAACGCTGTGGTTGCTAGAACTTTACCGTAAAACAATACGGTAGCAACATTTACAGATTCATCTTAAATTTACAGTAAAAAGTGTATTTCATTAACTGATATAATATTAATAAACCTACCTATTGGAGTGCTAATATCTGTTTTAATACACCGGCATCCACCAAAAACAGGTGGTGATGAGAAAGTCACCTGATGAATCAAAGATCATTGCCACAAACTGAGTAAATAGACTAAAACATGCACAGTGTCATTCACACAAACACAAAACATCATCTGGGTAAATCATATGACACTAACGTAAAGCAATAAACATTAATTTAAGAACATTATATGTAACATAAAACCTTGATGTACATAACCGATAAGAAAAAAATAAAGTTATTTCAACAAAAATAAATCAAAATAAGTGTCTCACACAGGGAATTTTGGGAATGGCAATTTACGTTTTTTTTCACTGTAAATGATACAATGACCAAATATACAATCCAAAAACTAAATTTAACAGTATTTTCTGTAAAATTACATTAAATGTACAATATTAGATCAATTACATTGCATTTTTACAGTATTTTACCGATAAAAAACCCCAATAATTTTTCAGCATGTACCGAATTGTCTCACGCGAGCTGTAGTCAAGTATGAACACACCAACTCAATCTTTTAAGAAAACTGTGAGTTCCTATGAATTCATACTGTGATTTGTTCAGAAATCTTAAAAGCTTCACCCTTCACACCATTCCTGAACCTAACAATCAGTAGAGCTTAAAGCATATCGTATGAAAACCTTCAAATTCGAACTTAGGAATTAAAGTTGCAGTCACATGAGTAAAATAAAAAAAGTCCATTGTCAAATGCGTAGAGATGTATGAAGCACAGCTAATACAGAATTCGCTTTCAAACCAAGCAGCTTTCCAGTGGTCGCCGCGGCGAATTCGCATAAACGATTTCAGCGAAATCTGTGTGGGGAATTTTTTCGCCTTCACTCAAAGCTTTCAAGTGTGCAGATGGAATGACTTTCGCCTGGGAAATTTTATACAGCAACAGTAAATATGACCGCATCTTTAGCCACCAATTCGCCAAAGCATTAAAAAGTTACGATTGTGTTTGGTAAATGCACAATTTCCACATATTTAATGTTTTATCCTCTCCGCTCTTCTGTTCATGACCAGTGTAATGAGCTAACTGTATCAGATTGAGTCTACTCATAATACAAGTCTTTATTTAATTTCAGAGTAATACAGACTGACTGAGTATACATGAAATGTTACTTAAAGATTACAGACATCTAAAATGTAACATAGAGCTGTCATTTTTATCAGCCCATTGAAAAAAAATTTCCCAACCCGCCGTATGAAATCCCTCTTCATTTTCATGTGAGTGCAGTCAAATTGTGGAGACTGCATGGTTTTGCCCTGTTTGGCTAATTGTCAGTGACACTTCTGCTGTAAGTGTGTGGGCTCATCTGCTATCACAGACTGTCTAAAAAGGCTCTGAGGTCTTTTAATTAAAAGAATTACGCTAATTACAGTTTAGTGGCTGTGGGAGAAATGGAAAAAGCCTTTTATTTCTGGATGAAAATGGTAGGGAACAAAGACAACACACACTGACAATCCTGGGGCGTCATCCAACTGACGCTTTACCTTTAGTGTCAGTTAGGTGACGGTGTAGGTTTAGGTCTGGGGTAGGGTTAGGATTAGATAACGTCATCTAACCGACGTTTAGGGTGCCCTAAAACGGCGGATGTTGACGTATGGTCAAAAGCGTCAGTTGTATGATGTCTTGGGATGAGACTGCGCTGCAAATAATCTACTGAACCTTTCCTGTCCTTGGCGGTAGAAGTAAACAAACAAAAATCAATACAACTCTTTCTAGAAATACATAGTTTTGTCATGAAACTGTAGATGGTACAGACTGTTGGGTCATTAATGCAAGCTAATAATAATTACAGCCTTAACTA